TCGGTTATATTTATCAAACCATAGACGAAGAAATACCAAAATATAAACAAAAAGAAAAAAAGATTGAATAAAAGAAACTGTATATAAAGATATGTGGATCTATCATCATATTGAAACTGAAAGTGGAAACCTATCAATATAAAATATAGTAGAAGAATATTGTAGAAAATCGTTATTAGTTGACATTTATAAGTTTAAATATATTTTTAAACATATATATTGTGTGAAATAATATACAGATGTTATCGAAATCAGATTTGGTATAATAGTAAAGACTAAATATGTTATGATCTTCATGTATATGGTTGAAATTTCAGTTTAAATATAATTATCCCATTTTCTAAACACCTTATGTTTGCTTGTGCTCTTGTTTATGTTATCTCCATTAGAGCGATCCAAAAATATCATACAGTGTCTACCGAGACAGCCCCAATGAGCCAGTGAACCCTTAACCTGTGATTATGACCAATGGACTTTTGCGTTAACCAAAGATGGAGTTCTTACTTCTTATTTCTTTTGTTTGTTTTTTTCAACTTTGTTTTGGAAGTTTGTTTTTATGACTATTGCTATTTTATTATTATTTTTGGATTCTCGAGGTAATCCTAGTCACACAATCAATTAAATCATAATAGTCAATGATAATTAAATGAAACCCTTTAACAAATCAGTAAAATATAAATTAGCAAACAAACTAGTAGAAAGTAAATATAGGTAGTGAAATAATCATAATTAGATATAAAATATGAAAAATTGACTATATAGATAACGAGAAAACAACCATTAAAACCATGAACTTTCAAATTAAAAAAAAAAAAAACCTTCAACTCGTGTTTAAGCCATAAAAATTTCCAACTTTTATATATTGGCCATTTAACTCTCATAGTTTATGGACTCAGTCATTTAAGAAATCCAAATAGTCAACTCTTAAACACAATTATAAGAAATAGGTGTATGTTAACTCTATAAACGATGTCATTTTTAAAAATCAATCAAACAACGTTGTTTTGCTTCTTTAAATACTTAAATCATATCTTTTGCGAACCTAGAGTCCAAAATCGACTTCATCTTTCTGACCTGAAATGAGGAAGATGAAATCGATTTGAGATTTTGGTTTCATGAATAAGATGCTTTAAGTGTAGCAAAATGACATTGTTTGATTAATGTTTAATCAGTTTTTAAAATAACATTATTTAAAAAATTAACAGATGTCTATTTTTGTAATCGAGTTTAACAGTTGACTATTTGAGTTTCTTAAATGACAAAATCAACAAAATGCAAGAGTTAAAACAACCAATAGTTAAAAATTGATAATTTTTTAGCTCAAAATGAGTTGGAGGTTTTTTTGCTTTCAATTGAAAGTTCATAGTTTAGTGATTTTTTTTCCTCTATAAATAACCTATGTCTTATGAAGACAAAGGAAAATTGACAAATACAAACTATTCTAATACTTCTTCATCAAACTTAGTAGGGGTTATTGGTTTTACTATTTTCATGGATTTAGAAAAATATATGGATTTAGAAATCTATGTCAAATCATATGATTTTAAAATCAAGAAAATAAAGATTTTAGAATCAATGATATGGATTTCAAAATGAAAATAAGTGGATTATCAAATAAATGGATTTGAAGTTCTCATTATTGCTTCTTCAAACATATACTCACAGAAAATTAACAGTACCAATTAATAATACGGCATCTAATGTATCGTTAGTATGCTATAGATAAATTTCTCTTGTAGTCTAGGAAATTCTGGTTTCATGTTTGATAATTTTAAATTTGATGAAAAAGCTCAAACCTATCAAAACAAGCACAACCATATTGCTAAGTTTGATAAAATCCAATTTTCTTGTTTGATTTGATGGTGTTTCTTTTTAATTTGTGATTGTTTCTGTTTTATGAATCATAATAATATGATAACTAGCTCAATGTTCGTATGAAATTATTGATTTTTTACTCTATTGAAATTAACTCAGTGTAGTCTGGAGACTTTGATGCACGAACTCCACCACCTCTTATTTGGTTGCTGTCACTGTCCCACTCTCCAGAATCTTAACGTAATAGTACGATTAATGTCAATTTAAAAGTGGAAGAGGTGACAATAATGTCCCGCTTCAGTCTTCACAAGAAACAACAGCTCGAGAAACTATTCAAAATTAACTGAAAAAAGTAAACATGCTTTACATCCGAGTCATGCCAGTACGGTGAGAAGTCAAAGCACTCCGGCCAACGAAACCTCCGGTGGACAAAAGTCACAAGGCTGTGAGTCTCTGGTGAGGAAGATTCATAAAACATGTGAATCAATATATCAACCAACGTTTATTAACACAAATCCAATAAAAATAATACGGTTCAACCCAATATTTGTTCCTTTCTATTTTACTCTTTAGAATATTTATAAATCCATTCAAATCCAAATCCAAATCAAATCTACAAACAAATCCTTAATATTGAATAACACCTGATTCTAAAATCTATTTTAAAATCATAAAACCAATAACAACATATTTGAAATTGAATTTTAAAATGATAGGACCAATAACATTAGATTTAATTTGAATTTATAAATCCATTAAAATATACAAACCAACTAGTTGTTTTGGGCGCACTTGCGGGCATAATTCTCTTATGAATATTTATTAGTTGATGTTTTATTAATTTAAAATCCAAAATAATAAGTTATATTTATGTTTTCAAAAATTACAAATCAAACATCAAATAATTATCATTGAAAAAACTCAAACATCAGAAATATTTAAAAGAATACATTTCTATAATTATTTTGCTTGATTTATATTTAATTATAATATTTATACAAATATATTACTTACTTACTAATTATAATTTTTGATATCTTAATTTTAAATTTTATAATAGAAAACATATTTTCAAGATAACAATATATTGCATAAGTTATTTATTTCCAAAAAAATATAATATGATAAATTTGTTTTAATTATATAATAATTATATAAGATTATAGAAATTATGACATATAATTAAAATTACCTAAAATCATGTAGAACTTAATGAATCAGCAAATTCACTTCTTAAATAATTTTCTTGAGTAATGATTTATATTTAATTAATAATAGATAATTTTCTATTTTAATTTTAAATTATATAAAATAAAAATATATTTTCAAGTTAACAACATAATACATAAGAAGTATCTTATTTTCTAAAAATAATAATATTAATCTAAATTTGTTTTAAATATATAATAAATCATATATAAAATTATAGAAATTATGATAAATTATCAAAATTACCTACAATTATGGAAAATATGACAAATCAGCAAACATTAATTCACCTCTTAAATAATAGTATAGATTTTCTTACATGTTAATTTTAAAATTTAATAGTATAGAAATTATGTTAAATGATCAAAATTATGATAAATGATCAAAATTACCTAGGATTATCGAGACAAATCAATAAATTCACTTTTCAAATAATTTTTTGATGATTTATATTTAATTATTAATAATATAATTTTTAAATCTTAGTTTTAAGTTTTTTAATACAAAAATATATTTTTAACATAACAACATAATACATAAGAATTATCTTAGTTTAGAAAAATATAAAATTATTATTATAAATTTGTTTTAGTTATATAATAAATATAATAATTTTTATATCTTAATTTAAAATTTAAGTTTTACATAAAAAAAATATTTCAAGATAACAACATAATTCAAAAGCATTATCTTATTTTCTAAAAATATGATATATTCATATAAATTCGTTTTATTTATAAATAAATTATATATAAATATTAAAAATATGGTAAACAAACAAAATTACCTAAACTTATGGAGAAAATGACAACTAAGCAAATTTACTTCTTAAATAATAGTATAGATAACACCTCCTTAGTGTTTTGTTTAGATTTTGTATAAAGTTGGGATACACTTTACTAAATTGAATAAATCAAATATTTATTTAACAAATAATGAAACTCTAGAAATTTTCGTTAAAGATTTGTATTGTTACATAATCTAATTACTATTATTTTCGTATATTTGGAAATTCTATTGGATATTGCGAAATTAAAAATTATGTAAATATTTAACATATTTTATTGTTTTTGTTATGGTTTTGTGACATATGTCAATTTATTAGGACCATTTAAAAGTTAAATGACAACCGTTTGTCCAAACTCTAATTTCATAGAATAGATTTTTATTTAAAAGTTAAACTAGATTTTGACCCGCGCAACCGCGCGGGTGTTTGTTTTCGTTTATAGTATAAAATTTTTGTTTTCACTTGTAAATTGATATATATTATAGTAATCACATATTTACGATATGTATAGTAAATGTTTTTCAAACATAATAATATTATATAATACGTGTTTTAATCAAATAGATTGTTTCAAATTTTCTATATTATACATGTTTTTCA